TGTGCCACCCGCTCTCTGGCACCAGCAGGAAGTGCTGGGCTGGCTGGTGTGTACCCAGGAGGAAGTGATGGAAGGTGGGCTGAGAACTGTATGGACTCACCTGGGCAGGAGGGAAGGCCTGGCTGGGGGTCTGTCTGCCCACCCCCGCCGCTCCCGAGGGGTGCTGCTCCTCCAGTGTCCCCCCATCCCACCCGGCCAGGCCAGCCTCCTCGAACACTGTCTCCCTCTTCCCCTGGCACCAGTTGCACGGGGACAGCCCCAGATGGCTCCCTGGCCCTGGGGACAAAGGCCACACTGTGCCCAGGCCCTGGGCTGGCCTCAGGCTGGGTGACACTGAGCCCTTCTGTCCCCAGATAGGGGTGAGGGGCAGACAGCACCAAGGTAACAAGCCTTTTTCCTGTCTCCCTTCCCCCTTGACCCCCAAATCTGAGGAGCTGACTCTCCCAAGAAGGAAGTGACAGAGGCATCTTGTGTCCTGACCTCGGGAACAACAGACCATTCACCGCCCCGTCTGCCCTGTCACACCCAGACCCTGCCGGGCCCAATGCCCCGATTGTCCCCATCAGAGCATGGCGTCCACCGCTGCTGCCTGCTCCCCTGCCACCATCAGGAAATCCATCTCTACATCTGACCACCATTGCTCCTGCTCCAGTGACAGCCACTTCCTCTTGGTCTCTTCTCAGGCTGGGTGGAGAACAGCTGGTCCCCATCATTTCACTTGGCCCCACATTCCTGCTCAAGTCAGCTGTCCCCAGTTTCACCCGGGCTTCCTGGCCCCACTGGAGGCTCTTTGCTCCTAACTGAACCGTGAGGAGGGCGGGTGCAATTCAGGCAGGTTCTCCTTTGTCTCGTAGAAATTGAGGGCTTCCCTCCCAGAAGGCTTTTGATGTGCTCCCCCCACCCCCACTCCCCTGCAGGAAGGCGCAAAGACGGGAGATTTACGGCAGCTACTGGTGGATTCCTGAGCCACAAAGCCAACGCGCCATCCCGTAAGCCCAGACTGCAGGACGGCTTTACGGGGAGCCCTGTTTTTAGAAGAGGGCGTGACTGGCCCTCAGACCTCAGGGAACCAAGTGCCTGGTGCCCGCACACCCTGCATGACCATGACAGCCCAGGGCATCAGTCTGTGCAGGCCAAACATTTTCTCCTCTTCCGGGGAGAGGGGGTGGTCCTCCTGCATTGCCTCCACCTTCCTGTGCCTCCCAGCTCCGAAGAGTCCCCATCTCAGCACAGTAGGGCAATCTGGAAACCTGGGCAGGTAACCATCCCTTACCTGGACCTTAGATGCTCCCCAGCTGTGGCTTCAATGTTCAGATCACTGGGGATGCTTTTTAAAAAATCATTTTCTTGCTCAACATCTTTAATCATCAGAGAAATGCAAATTTAAACCACAGTAGAAATCACCTCATACCTGTCAGAATGGCTATTATGAAAAAGAACCCAAATAACAAATGTTGGTGAGGATGTGGAGAAAGGGAAACCCTCCTACACTGCTGGTGGGAATGTAAGTTGGTGCAGCCACTGTGGAAAACAGTTTGGAGGTTTCTCAGAAAACTAAAAATAGAACCACCACATGACCCAGCAGTTCCACTCCTGGGTATGTACATATATCTGAGAAAAATGAAAACACTAATTTGAAAAGATACGTGTACCCGCAATGTTCATAGCAGCATTATATGTAATTGCCAAGATAAGGAAGCAACCTGTGTCCATCAACAGATGAATGGATAAAGAAGATGTGGTGTGTATATATATATACACAATGGTATACTACCTAGCCAATTAAAAAAAAGAAACGAAATTTTGCCATTTGCAACAATGTGGATGGACTTGGAAGGTATTAATGCTAAGCGAAAGAAGTCAGAGAAATAGAAATAGCGTATGACATCACTTATGTGTGGAATCTAAAAAATAAAACAAACTAGTGAATGCAACAAAAAAGAAAAAGACTCACAGATACAGAAAACAAACTAGTGATTACCAGTGGGGAGAGAGAAGGGAGGAGGGGGAGGGTGGGGTTGGGGAATTAAGAGGTGCAGGCTGTTATGTCTAAAATAAACAAGCTACGAGGATGTATTGTACAGCACAGGGAATACAGCTAACATTTTGTAATAACTACAAATGGAGTATAACCTTTAGAAATTTTGACTCACTCTGTTGTGTACCTGCAACATGTAATTGTACATCAACTCTACGTCAACTAAAAAAAAAAAAAAAAAGAATAAATGCATTTTCCAGGCACCATCCTCAGAGCTTCAGGTCCAGAAACTGAAGAGTGAGACCCAGAAGTCTGAATTTTTTAATGGTGCTGCAATATTTTGCTTATTCTGTCCGTTAATAAGTGCTATCTGAGAATATCTATACTATTAATGGAACAAACTAAAATGAAGTTCAATTTCCTTTTTTTTTTTAACATTTCAATACTGGATATTCATTAGAAAGATGGTCAACATAATTATGGTCAAAATTTTTAAGTCAAAAACGTAGAATGAATGTTTGGTGTTAGTCTATATACAGTTCAGTTTTTGGTGTAAAGTTCTTTGGCTGCAAGAAAACATTTGGGTTACTTGTACTAAGGGGAGCATCTCTCAGTGCTGGGATGGCCTCTTGGTATCTCTTCTGCTGTTGACTTTAGCACAGTTATCTGTGACTGTAGTATTGGGACTGAGTGGAGAGGTCCTCACCACGTTTACTCCAAGTAAGAGTAAATAACCAGTTACTATAGTAACGAGGAGGTACATGGGCAGTGCAACTGCCCAATATTTTTGAGGCCAGTAGGTTAAGCCTAAGGAGTTTAGCCAAGATTCGGGAATAAAAGCCCACACGAGATATAATATGAAGCCACATTGGGAGCTTAAGAAAAGAACAAAGCCATAGATTGCTCTTTCTGGAAATGATGGACGGTGAATTTTCCATTTTCCCTGGGGCTTCAGATAAGCTCTGAAGGCTTCGAATCTATGCAGAAAAGGATGGGCAAACAGGGCGCCCGGGCCTGGGTGCCTGGGGCCGTTCCCTGCTCTTTTTTGGGGTTTTCTGTTTCTCATTCGAGACGGGGGTTGGGGGTTGGGGGATAGCTCTTGACCTTGGGTCCTCCATGCACCCAGGAGTTGATTTTTTCCAACACTCCCTGGTGATTCTGATGTTCAGCCAACCTGTAAACAGTTGATCCGTGCAATGCAGGCACCTCCACTGTCGTGTCGTGTGGGAAATGGGAGTCAGCAGGCAGGGCGTGTCTAGGTCCTCTTGTCATTGGAACCCACAGGCCGCCGCCACCACCACCACAAAGCCCCCATCGTGGGGCCACTGCAGACTGCACACAAGAGTGTGAGGTGGGTGGCAGCCCTCTGGGAGCGTCCTGTCTGTGAGAATCCTGCAGACGGTTGGCTCAGGACATCTCATGGAGCCAGGAGGAGCAGCTGAGATTGTCTGGAAGGAATGAGCTCCAGGATGGAGAAGGAGGAAAGCCCCAGACTGGCAGGCTTGGCAAGGAAGCTGGAAGAAGGGCTCTTGGCTACCTTCTCATCAGGGGTGGCCTCACAGCCCCCGGGTTCCTGGAGAAGAGGCAGCAGGCTTTACTCACCACTGTAACCCCAGTGGCTAGCGCAGAGCCCGTGGCGGCGCCGGTACTCAGTGATCGCTGGTTGAGCTGAGCTGAGGGAGACTTCCGGGCCCACTGACAAAGGTAGACTGGGCTGGCAGTGCAGACCCAGGGACAGACTTTGGTGTAGAAATCCAGGAGCCACGGCTGAATCCTTTAAAAATCAAATACAGAGAAATACAGTCTCCTTCCTCAGAGAGCCTGGCCGTACCCAGTCTCTGGGCACAGGGGAGCTAGAGGACCATAACTTAGACGCATTTGGGGGCAGCCAGGAACCTGCAGGCCCACGGAAAGAACGCTTTCCAGGCCGGCTGAAGACAGAAGGATGTGATCATTAAGCAAAGTAAACATGTTACTGACCCATAATCCCTTAAACCAGGAGGATTCAGGAGGGGCCTGGTTGCCTTGGCAACTGAACACTGGCCAGTGACAGTGCTGAGAGCATCCTCTGGGAATGGGCTGAGCTGGGAGAGGGTGCGAGGTGGCCCCCTCCTGTCACAGGGCTGGTCTGATGGCTTCGTGGCAGGCGTGGGTGGGGGTCCTTGTGAGGCCTTTTGGTCCCAGCCGCACTGTAACTGAGGGAGAAGTGGGCAGAGCAGAATGTGGGGGCGGCCACACTGGGAGCTTATGAAACCATGGAGGGGAGGGGCGGGGAGGCGTGACAGCCCCCGCTCTGGGTTTTCAGGGCAGATCAGAGGGGGAAGGATCTGCGGGAAGGAGCAGTTGCATAAGGCTCCCTGGCAGGCCGGCCGGCCGGGTGTCCCCTCACTCAGAGGACAAGAGAGCTGAGGAGCTGCTGGGGGCCGCCCCTTCTGGCTGGGGCAGGGGGCCTGGGGGTGAGCAGAGCAGCCTGCCCCCTCCCCCCATCGTGTTGCCTGCAGGGACACGCTGCCTGCTGTGGCACTGGAGGGGCCAGCCATGCTCACCCTCCCCTCCCTGGGGCCCTGCCTATTTCCGGTAAACTTCTGTGTTTCCCTTGAGACATTCAGCTGCTCCTGACCTCCCGTATTTCAGCTGGAGAGATGGAGCTGGGTCAGCTGAGATGCACACGTTCCCTCCCTCATCCCTTTCCTCTCTTTTTCTGACTCCTGGGGACCCAGGACGAGCCAGAGAGGGACCCCCCGGTGTCAATATCAGGATGAAATGGGATTTGGACCAGACTGTGTCACAAGGCGGTAGGCTAAGCTGATGTTCAGCTTACAGGCATCAATCATTAAGACTTACCGGCTGTTGACAAATTCAGGCTTTTCCGTGCAAGTTGGTAAAGAGCTGCTGGCCTGAGGGCCACCGGGTTCTGGTGCCTCCTTCCAGAATTCTCTAGACCTCCAGCAGCTTAAAGGTTCCTGCCTGGCCCTGGGGAGACCTGCAGGAACCTACTGGCACTTCATGCCATTATTATGAGCAGTACTTTGCTGGGCTGCTTGGTACACATTATTACTATCTCCCCAGGGACGAATCCTTGAAGGGATGAGATTCACAGGGAGGAAGAGGGTAGGATGACTGCCTCTCTGAGAGCTTGAAGTTTACTGGGGAAGGTGCAACCCTGGCCTGCGGGTGCAGGGTGACAGCTTGATGGGAAGACAAGAGACCACGACCCAGAATTCACATTTGGTTTCGACCGGACCCTGTCGCCCTGTTGTCACTTGCTCTTCTGACTTCTGCCTTAGGACCCGGCTGCCTGGTCCCTGCTGATCATGAACAAGATGAAGAACTTTAAGCGTCGCTTCTCCCTGTCAGTGCCCCGCACCGAGACCATCGAGGAGTCCTTGGCCGAGATCACAGAGCAGTTCAACCAGCTCCACAACCGGCGCAATGAGGGTGAGGGGTCTGGGACCCTTCCCCAGCCCCTCCCTCGTCCCTGTTCCCGCAGAGCCCCCTCCCTGACACATCTTCACCGCAGCCTTGGTGGGGGAAGGACAGAGATCTGGGGTTGACTCCCCGCCCCACCCCAGTTTGGGGCAGAGAGGCAGGGAGGGCAGCTGATGCCTCTCCCTCTCAGACCTACAGCTTGGCCCTCTTGGCCGAGACCCCCCGCCAGAGTCCAGCACCTTCTCCCCGACAGACAGTGGGGAGGACCCTGGGCAGCCGTCGCCTGGCATGCGGTACCGGAGGCAGAACCAGCGCCGCTTCTCCATGGAGGTGAGGGGCTGCGGGCTCTACGCTGTGGGTGCACCGAGGAGGGTGGTTGCCTTGAAGCCAGACTTCGTGGGTTCAAATCCCAGCTCTACCATCGATCAGCTCTGTGACCTTGAGCAAGTTACTCAGCCACTGTGTGCTACAGTCTTCCTGCGTTAAAATCGTCCTCAAGATTAAATGAGTTAACATATGCCGAGTGCTCAGAGCATTCCTGGTACATAGCACCAGCGAGACAATTTGACTGTTTTTACGACCCATATATGTGTGCCCAAGTGTATAAAAAAAATATGCTCACAGACAAGCAGTGCAGGAATCTCATCCACAGATGGTGATTCTGAGGCCCAGAGAGGGGAAAGGATCTCCCAATATCACACAGCAACCCCTGGGCGTTCATGTGTGTCTTGAGCACATCTCTGAAGCAGCTGTGAGCCTGGTATCACAGCCCGTGGTTCAGTCCTGCTGGGGTTGCTCTCATGGAAAGCCAGGCCCAGGGTGAGAGGCGAGGGTCCCACAGCCCTCTCTCTCTGGAGCGGACGCTGGCATCCGCATCTCATCCTGGCCACCGCAGGACATCAGTAAGAGGCTTTCTCTGCCCATGGACATCCGCCTGCCCCAGGAATTCCTGCAGAAGCTGCAGCTAGAGAGCCCAGACCTGCCCAAACCACTCAGCCGAATGTCCCGCCGCGCCTCCCTGGTGAGTCCCAAGAAGGTCAGAGGTTTCCAGGGTAGACCCTCTCCCCTACAAGACACGTCAGGCCTGGTTTTTTTTCCCTGACCCAGCTGAGGCCGGCAGTGCTTTCCAGGGGCGTTTCTGTGCCTCTGGCGCCACCTGCTGGCCAGAGAGGATTCCTATTTCGGGTTCTCCTTGGTCAGTTTCTGTTCCCTAGTTGGGTCCTAACAGGGCTGGAGCTGAGCTCCAAGCCCTTTCTGGGCTCGAGTCTTCACCAGGTGAGACCAATAGACCAATTGGCCCACGTTTCCAAGTCCTGACTGCTTATCAAATTTCCTTGGGAGCATCTTACAAAACGTAGATTCTGGTTTCCACTCCAGGTACCCACAGAACCCGACTCTGGGTGGTGGGGCCCAAGAATCCGTATTGTTAAGGGTTGGGAACTACTGAGCTAGAGGAAGTGTGCCGATGAGAGAGGCTGCAGGGAGGTGGGTTCTGAACTGGACACACAAGGTCCAGTGGAGAAAAAGACACAGTTCCTGTCCGCCAGGGGCTAGTAGTCTGACCAAGATGGAGACAGACAGGTGATAAAGGCGTGTGGCAATCCCAGGACTAGAGCCCTGGACTCTGCACCCCCCACTACCATGGGAGAAAGAAACTCACACGTCTAGGGCTCCTTCCTTTATCGCAGGGCTAGAGGGGAGATGTGGAGAGGGAGGATTTGGGGCCCCCCTCCCACTGCCAGCCTCGGTCATCCCCTCCCCCCCATGAGGGTCTCACTCCCTTCCCACCAGGAGGCTGGGGATGGGGAGGTGTAGTATGTGGGGTTACCAGGGCCTTCAAGCTCACAGGACCCTGTGTCTCTCCCTCTCAGTCAGATATCGGCTTTGGGAAACTGGAAACATACGTGAAACTGGACAAACTGGGGGAGGTAAGAGGTTGGGTTCAGTTAGAGGACCAGGGTCTCCCCTCGCCCTCCCTGATCTGTGTTCACACTGCCCCTTCTCCACAGAGGTGCGCGACCTTGGCTGTGCGATCTGGCCCAGCCCTTGCCCCGTGTCCTGGAGGAGGGCATGAGGATGGAGTGGCTGATGGGCTCTGGGGCAGAAGCCAGTCTCTTTTTTTTCCCTGCAAGTACTTCTCGTCTGGGATCAAATCCCAAGTCCGCAGTTACAAGCTCTGTGGCCTGGGGCCAGTTACGCCACCTCCCTCTGTGCCTTGGTTTCTTCCTCTGTCAAAGGGAGATCGTAATTGCTCTGCGTCATAGGACGTGAGGGTATAGTGAGCTTTTGTGCTGTGTGACTGTTAGCTGTTTCCATTATCTCTACGCTGGCCCTTTGTGCTACAGGCTGGGGGTGGGGGATAGTTTACAGAGAGGAGGTGGGCACCGCCCTTTCCCTCCGGGAACTCTGGGGAGACCTACATGTAAACATCAACATAATTTTAAGGAGGAACAAAAGCGGTGTTATAATAGAGGGGCCCCTCGCCTGCTGGGGGCTTAAGAGGAAGGTCGTTTTCTTCTGACGGGGCAGGAGTCAGGGTCAGCTGTAAAGAAGTGAGCTTTGGAGGAAACAGAATTTCAGTGAAAGCAGATAGGGGAAGGACCTTCCAGCCAAAGTCACAGCCCAAGCAGAGGCATAAAGAGGGGGCCATTGGACGGAGGAGAGCTGGGCCTGAGTGTGGCTGGGCTGCTGGAGTTCTTGTTCCCAGGGCACCTATGCCACAGTCTTCAAAGGGCGCAGCAAACTGACAGAGAACCTCGTGGCCCTGAAGGAGATCCGGCTGGAGCACGAGGAGGGGGCGCCCTGCACTGCCATCCGAGAGGGTACAGCAGCATAGAGCCCTGCGGTCTCGGGGCTCCTGGGAGGAGAGTTCATTGGCCTGAGCCCTGGTGGCGTGGGGACTCCTGGGGCTGATCCCCGGAAGGGAGGGTATGAGGGGCACGTGGGGCCTCAGGGAACCTGAGTGTAGTGGACACGCAAGTACAGTGGAGAAAAAGACACGGTTCCTGTCCCGTAGTGTCTCTGCTGAGGAACCTGAAACATGCCAACATTGTGACCCTGCATGACCTCATCCACACGGAGCGCTCCCTCACCCTGGTGTTTGAGTACCTGGTGAGTTGGGGGGGAAGGGGCAGAGGGTGGGATTAGCCCAGGTCTAGGGGCAGCTCAGTGCCAGGGGCCTGGCCCACTCCTGGGCTTGGGCCTAGCCCATGGAAGGGTTCCTGGCCAGGGGTTGGGTCGAGCGGGGCTGAGCCAGGCCCTGTGTTCCAGGACAGTGACCTGAAGCAGTATCTGGACCACTGTGGAAACCTCATGAGCATGCACAATGTCAAGGTAAGAGCCTCCGTGTCACGGACCACCCCCAACCCTGCCCACCAACTCTAAGCATCAGTTTCCCTGTCTGTCAAATGGGAGCACCTGCCAGTATGAAGAGGGTTCCAGGGATGCTGAGAGGGATGAAAGACCTCTTCTGTGTGCACACATCCCCGCCTGTGGCCCCTCTTGGCTCCTCGGTTAAAGAACTCTCTCCTCCCCCACCATCCTAGCTCCTCCGTACACCGGGTGCCCCTCCTCTGGATGGGATTCCCTGGGGCAGCTGGGCCCCAGGGTGGGCAGTGCGGGCAGGTTCCTCACCTCCACCCAGTCTTTGTCCCCATCCCTGTCCCAGCCATGGGGCAGAGGCAGAAGGTCACCCTGATGCTCCCACCATCCCCTGTTCACCCTTCTTTTCCCTCCCCCAGATTTTCATGTTCCAGCTGCTCCGGGGCCTTGCCTACTGCCACCGCCGCAAGATCCTGCACCGGGACCTGAAGCCCCAGAACTTGCTCATCAATGAGAGAGGGGAGTTGAAGCTGGCCGACTTCGGTGAGGCCGGAGCCCGCAGGGCTTGGGGAAGGGGGGTCTGACACGGTCTTCTTGGGATGTGGGTGCTGTAGCGGGGAGGTTCAGTGACAGGTCTGTCCCCAGGACTGGCCCGGGCCAAGTCAGTGCCCACGAAGACCTACTCCAATGAGGTGGTGACCCTGTGGTATAGGCCCCCCGATGTGCTGCTGGGCTCCACAGAGTACTCCACCCCCATCGATATGTGGTGAGTGCACTGGGGCCGAGGGGAGGGGGCCCTCCACACCTCCAGGTTCGCTTTTTGCTGTCCCAAGGGCCCCTGCGAAGTACTGTCGAACCTCTTTTGAGTAAAAGCCACGTGGCATCCTGTTGAACTGGATGTTAAAGAATAAAGTCTGAGCTACATTGGGGTTTCCCTGGCTCTAAATAGACCCTCCAAGGCCATGCTTCTGAAATATCCCCCTCAAGGGTACATAACAGCTTACCAGAAGGTACAGGAAGGCCCCCACTGTAAATATGATGTATCTTGCCCAAGCATCAGTGCTACTGAAAAATTCAGAAGGGGTACGTTATTTTTGTGTTAAAATTAACACACACACACGATTAGGTGTAGAATGAAAAGTGAGCCTAATTTTAAAGCTAAAACACAGGTTTCCAACGAATGGCCACTGTGCCCTCTGCCAGGGGCTTCCTTGGAGACTGGACTGTGGACTTCTCTCTTCCAGTGGGGGCACAGGATGGAAAAAGTTTGAGACAACGCATTTTGAAGAACTGCCATGAGGGTGCTGCCTATGCAGACCCTAACCCTCCAGAGTGAAAGGGGAGAGGTCAAAGCGCCCTAGAGCCCAGAGAAGCCCCCAGAGGGAGGCTGTAGTGGGGGGCTGTGCTGTTACTATGAGCCTCTGCAGCCATGGGCCACCCACCCCAGTGCCATGACCCATTCGAGCCACCGAGGCATCGTGGTGGAGCAGCGCTGGGAAGCGCAGGTGCCAGGAGGCCCAGCCTGACGCCGCCCCTGCCCATTGCTCTCTGCAGGGGCGTGGGCTGCATCCACTATGAGATGGCCACGGGGAGGCCCCTCTTCCCAGGCTCCACCGTCAAGGAGGAGCTGCACCTCATCTTCAGACTCCTCGGTCAGTGTCCTGCGCTCCCTCCCTCTCACCACGAGGGGGCGCGAGAACTCTGTCCAGCCCAGGCGCATAATGGGAATGTGAGGAGCAGCTTCGGCCTGATCTCCAAAGGGCGGGGACCCCTCAGCTATTCTTTGCCCCCACCTTCTACCTTGTACCCCTTCAAGTCACCCTTGGCCCTGGCTTCTCACCCCTCCACACCTCTTCTCATCTCCCCAGGGACCCCCACGGAAGAGACGTGGCCTGGTGTGATGGCCCTCTCGGAGTTTCGAGCCTACAGCTTCCCCCGGTACCTCCCCCAGCCGCTCATCAGCCATGCTCCCAGGTAGCCCTTCCTCCCCACGCCTCCTCTCCTGCCTGTGGTCCTGGCTGTCCCTCTGGAGGTGGCCACAAGCTCCATCCAGCCCACGTGGGCCCCCTCCTCCCCCGCCCCCCCAGGCCAGGCCTGTGCCAGCTCCTTCCTCCTGCAGGTTGGACACTGATGGCATCAACCTCCTGACCAGCCTCCTCCTGGTGAGTGTGCTCCGCCCCGGCCAGGGACAGGCAGTCAGAGAGCTGAAGCCCCAGGACCCCACCCAGCCCTCAGTCCCAACCTACGTGTGTGCTCACGGACTCACAAGCCTGAGCCGTGTCCCCCTGTGCCCTCCACCCGCAAGGCCTCAGACTTCAGAGTGGGCGCGCTCCGAATGCAAACCCCAGTTCAAACCCTGGCTGTGTAGCTTTGGGCAAGTTACAGAGCTTTTCTGTGCCTCAGTTTCCTCAACTGCAAGTAGAATTAAACATTTTGTAAGCTGGTTGTGAGGATAAACTGAGGTTATGAAACACTTTAGAAGGGTGCCTGTCTTGAATAAGCACACAATAAAGGGTAGTTGTTAGTATTACGTATGAATATGACTGGCATTGAAGTTATGACCTTGGATGCTTTAGCATCTGTAATTTCCATCCCAAGAGGAAGTCATTCTCCGATGGTCCCATTTCTGGTTTTCTCCTGGTGGCTGGAGACCTGGGACCCTGAGCTTTGAGACTGCCTTGGGTTGGGTGGGCAGCTGACCCCGGGGGCTTCTCAGGTCGGACTCTGGTGCCTCCCATCTTGGCCATGTAACTTAGTATAGCAGTTGCATTACCCAGAGGGGTCCCTGCAGTCCCCTAGCTGGGGCCAAACTGCCCACCGTCTGCTTTTCAGTATGAATCCAAGAGTCGTGTGTCGGCAGAGGTGGCCCTGAAGCACCCATACTTCCGGTCTCTGGGGGAGCGTGTGCACCAGCTGGAAGACAGTGAGTGTGTCGGGGAGGCTGGGGGAAGGGGCAGGGCCACCCCAGGGCCAGGGAAAGAGGGCAGCCAGTGTGGATGGAGGAGCCGGATCAAAGAGGCCAGAGGCCCCGGGTCTGGCTGAGCAGCCTGGCTTCCCCTTCTTGGGTTCTCATTTGTAACGAAGGGGTCAGACCCTGGGGATCCGAGGTGCCTCCTGAAAGGCCCAGTGAGGTGCTCCTGGGCTGGTCCTGCCTGCAGGGGGGTACTCTCAGCTCCTGTGCTCAGTGGGCGTGGGGACTGCCGGCTCCACTCAGCTCTCTCCCTGCCTTTCCCCTCCCACCACAGCTGCCTCCATCTTCTCCCTGAAGGAGATCCAGCTCCAGAAGGACCCGGGCTACCGGGGCCTGGCCTTTCATCAGCCAGGTAGGGGCTTGTTCCTCCTCCTCCCCCTCCCCTCCTTATTAGAGGAGACCAGGGCAGGCTACTCTGCCCTCTCGAGGGACAGATATCGGGCCCAGCAGCGGGCTCCTTCCATGGAAATCAGCATGGCCTCCCCTCATTGGCCTCCCTTCCTGTGGGGAGCAGGTGAGGGGCTGGTTTCCCTATCTCCTGCCCAGGCTTCCTCCTTCAGTGTCTCCTTCCTCCATCCCCACCCTAGACAGAGCGCTGCATCTGACAGTAGCCCTGGCGAAGGTGCACGCTTTCTCTGGTGCATTCTCTCTGCAGACTCGGAGCTCTCTAGCCTCCATCCTGGGAGAACTGTATGTTTTCTAGACTAGCTCGTGGCCTCAGACGTGACAAGTGCTTTCCATGTATTATCTCATTTCATCTTAAAACACCGCTTAAAGTTGGTACTGTGAGTTAGTGCTCCCCATTTCAAACTAAATGAAACGGGCTTTGGGAGGCTGTTGCAATTTCATGTAGCTAGTAAGTAGCAGAGGTGGCGTTTGAACCAGGACTGACCAGCTCCCGAGCACGTGCTCTTGCTGGCTCTATCAGAGGAGCTGTGGAGGATGCCCGTCCCTCCTGATGGCGGGTGACCTTTGGCCCGGCCTTCTCCCTGCAGTCCCACATCTTCCCCTCCATTCTCCAGGGCGAGGGAAGAGCCGGCGGCAGAGCATCTTCTGAGCTGTGACTGCCCTACTGAGGCCCAAGGGATGATAGGTCACACTGATCACAGCTGCAGCAGGATGGGGCCCGTGTGGCCTCGGAGGACAGAGGAATGAGGGCTAATGGCGGGCCCAGAAGACTTCTCGGCAGCCCTGCTGGCCACGGCTGTTTCCTCTCCCTGCTTTCCACATGCCTCCCTGGTGGCCTTGGCCTGGACACCAACCCCCTCCATCTCCTGCCCTGGGGCAGGGCAGGAGCTGCTTCTCTGGGAGGAGGTGAGGGGGCAGAGGGCAGCCTCAGACACTTCCCCACCCTGAAGGGCTCGGGCACCAGCGTGGGACCCACGTGGACAGGAGAATCTGGAGGCCAGGCCAAGCGCTATGCCTTGGACATGGGCACCACCACGCCCCACCCTGGGGGCCCTGCCTGCCTCACCAGTTTGATCGAGTCCCTTTTGGGCTCTTTGGAGCCCACACATCTTTCCCCTTTTCCCCTCTGAGAGCAGGAAGCAACATGGCACCTTGTCAGGGACCTCGTCAGGAATCCTGGGTGCCAACGTGTGTTCCAAAGCCTACCCCCTACCTGAAGGGTGGGTGTCCCCAGAGCAACAGAGGGAATCATAGCCCACCCCTTTCCCACCATGCCCCACTTGTTCCCACTCCCCACTCCTCGCCAGGGGCCCGGAATGCTGCTGGATGCCCAGTCGAGTCCAGAGGTGGCCTGGCCTCGCCAGCCGCACTCCCGCCACCTCAGCCGCCCCCGCCCAGCTCCCCAGTCTGAACGGGATTGCCTTAAATTGGCAGGTGGTGGAGCACTCACTGCCCTTGGAGCTCTGACCCACGCTCCTACCTGTCCACCCTTTCCCGACAGCGGCTCCTGCTTATCACCCCTGAGCACTGATAAGCCAGCCCTGTGCCAGGGTCCCGAGAATGGCTGGCACCCAGATATGCAGGGTCACCTTGACACTGGGGCCAGGCCGGCCGCAGCCCCTTGGGGCTGGCACAGCCTCCCTTGTCCCCTCCTCCCCTGCCCCCTCCTTCCCAGGCCCTGTGGCCCTGTCCTTGCTCTGCAGTATCTGGGCACCAGCCTCCCAGTGCTCCTGGCCTTCCCAGAGGGAGAGTCAGTGCCACAGTCTGAGGTACAGGAAGAGGGGACAGGATAGGACAGGCTTTGATCCTGAGACCCCCGCCCCACGGGGGTGGGAGTATGAGGGGCCGTGACCCCCAAAGAAGGCACCACCACTGCCCCTATGGAGCATGCCTACTGTATTCCCAAGGTCTCAACACTTGACTCAGTCTTAGATGGCAAGGCCAAGGGGAGGCCAGGCCCCAAGCCCACCCGCCTCAACCTAAGGAGCAGCCCTGGAGGGTCTTGGCTTCCCCACAAGTCCCTCCCCTCCTCCCTGACTGTACTGTGAATGTCCTGTGACTCAGCACAAAAACTGATAATATATTTAATCATGTACAGAAAAGAGTGACAGTCTCATGCAGAAAAGCTGATTTTGACAGATTGATGCCAAAGATGGAGGACAGAAGGCCCTTCTCGAGGCTTCCTGCGTGCAAGTGGGGCTTGCTTGTGCATATATATATATATATATATAAAGTGGAGAGAGAATTTGGTTTGTGTGTATCTCTGAACCCAGCCTGGGCCATGGGCATGGTGCCCTGCACCCTCCCTGCTGTATTCACGGCTGGAAGTCAACTCTGGGTGTCATGGGGTGGGAGCAGAGGAGCCCTGGGACTCCATGCTCTGGGTCCCAGCCTTGGCCCAAGTTGGTGCCTGAAGGGCGGGGCCAGCCAGGAGTCCCGGAAAAAGTCCTGGGGTTCTGGCTGCTGTAGCTGACCCGTGTTCTCCCGCAACCAAGCGGCTTTCTGACTTTATGGGAGGCAGGGAGGGAGGTTCAAGAGAGGGTTGACAGGGTGGATGACCAAGGAAGGCCAGGGCAGCAGAGCCAGGGTGCAAGCCTCACGATAATTCTGGTTCAGACCTGACTCCCCCTTCTGCTGCCCAGACGGCCTCTTACCTTGGGTCTGTCCGCACCTTCTTTGACACACATCTCTCAAAGTTCTCAGCATCCTGCTCTGTTTTCCAATTCAGTGTCCAGATTTGTTCTCCACAAGCCACCCTGAGAATGTCAGGCTCCAAACCACACCTCCCCACCTTACCTGTCTAGTGGCCTCATGTCTGGCCATGAGAACTTTCCAGTTTGCCCGCACACTCCAAGAGTGGAGGCTGCTTCCCAGAGGAGGAAGCTAATGTTGAGAGGCTAGGCGATGTCACCCAAGGTCATGGAAGTAAAGGGTGGGTCAGGGCTTGGTTCTCAACACTGGTTCCACCAGCCTAGACCTCCTCACCTCTTAAAGGCAGCCAGTCACCAAACTGGAGGCCAGTGAGTGCTTGACCAGAGAGCAGGGGCCAGGAAACACATTGGTGGGAATCAGAGTCTTTTAAGTTGCTTTTGGGAGGGGACTAGAAGAGACCTAAGGTTTGTTAGCTCCTTGCTATGCAAAGCCTCTCATTTAATCCTCACAGCAGCTCCATTTCTCCCCATATTGCAGGTGAGGACAGTAAGGTTCCCAGGGGTTAAATTACTTGCCTGGGGTCACAGAGCAAATTAGAATCCCAGTCTGTCTGCCACCCCAGCCCTTGGTCTTCATGGAGGGGGAAGAGTGGAGAAGAAGGGAGGTGTAGACAGGATGGAGCCCCAGGAGCCAGGGAAAGACATGAAAGGGAAGGCCCTGGGGCAGACACTGCTTTGCTGGAGCACCTCTTGAGACCAGAGACCACCACTGTATCATGGGCAGCGGCAGCCCGAAGGTTTACAGAGGCTCCTGCCCCTTTAAGGGGGGGGGCAGCTGATTCTGTTGTGGAGGCTCACGTGGGTAGGGGTACTTCGGAGGTCTGTGTGGAGGCATCAAGGCACTCAGCTTCTGCCCTAGAAAGCTTGGTGGGGTGGGGCCAGGGGGCAGGAGGAGCACTCAGCTGGACAGGCTTATACCGGGTCTTTTGTGCAGTTAGTGCTCAAGGACAAATGATGGTTCTGGGGAAGGAAGCTGGAGGGGCACGCCACTCTGGTCATGAACTACTGGGGCAGAAGGGCTTCCAGGGTTGCCCCCAGGCCACCCCACCAGGTGCACGCACCCTGTTTCCTCGTCCGCCCCACCATCATTCCCATATGCCTTTGGCTCTCACAAACAGCAGCCTGCCCTTTACGCTGGAGTCCCTGAGCCCAAACCCCCATCAGCCAGTCAGTTCCCCCTCTGGCCTCACTTCTGCTCCTGGGATGGGTCAGGAGTGCCTGGCGCCCCGAAGGGCCTTTCCTTTCACCTGCCTGCTCAGTAGGGGCATTTGTGCTGCACCTGAGAGTGAGAGCAGCTCTCCTGCTGGGCTCTGCCCCACAGCAGCTCACACCCTGGTGGGACCTGCGGCTGGCTCTCCTTGCCCCACCCTTCCTGTGGGCTCTTAGTCATCCTGTTCGGTCCTGGGTCCAGCGGTCAAGGCTGATGCCCCATGGGCCACTGCCCTCTTTGCCCTGCTAGGCCATCTGGGCCATCCAGGTGTCGGACACTGTTGCCAAACTTCCTTTCTTTCCTCCTCAAAGCTGCTCAGCCCCTTTCTACCCATCTTTCCACCTTCATCTTTGCTCAGACCGCCACTTCCAGTCTGGACACTCCATAGCTCCCCCATGCCCTGTCTCCAGAGCAAATCACCAGCAGCATGAATTGGTCACTAGGTGCTGGGACACCAAGATACAAGACTCCACGTTCACCTTCTGAGAGCTCAAACCTACTGTGGCGGTGATGGCCTGTCTCTCAGCAGATTTTTATCAAGTACCCACTGTGTGTCAAGCACTGTGCTGGGCACTGAGGATGGGGCAGCGAGCTCCATCACACTGTCCCTGCTCTCAGAGAGCTTACATTCCAGTGAGGGAGGACACATCACCCAAATAAACACGTGGCACATCAAAGGGTCAGGTGTGATGAAGCCCCATCAAGCAGGGTCAGGGAGATGCAATGGCAGTGGGGGAGGGGTGGACATATAGTGTGGGCGGGGCCTCTCTGATAAGACTGAGGGGAGCAGTGACTTGTAAGGGGAGAGCCATGTGGACCTCCAAGGACAGAGTAGTCCAGCAAAGGTGCTGAGAGGGGTCCTTAGAGACAAACAAGGTGGCAGCTGGGCCAGAGCACCGCGGCCAGGCGGGGTGGCAGGAGGGCCACCTCGCTCCCGTGGAGCGGTGGTTCTGCACAGTAGATCCACCGGAGAGCACCCAGGAAGTACTGATACACGGCTCCGGCTTGGACTGACTCACTCCGATTTTCCAGCAGTGGGACCAGGCATCAGTAATTTTTAAAAACTCCCCAGATGACCCCAGTGTGTAGCCAGGGTGGAGAATGGCACATATGGGGTCTTGTGGGCACGGGCAGGACTCTGGATTCCATCCTGAGGTGGAAAACCACTGACCTCTGTTTTAGAAAGGCTCAGAGAGGCTAATAGGAGATGTCAGTCCCCATGAGGAGGGTGCTGTGGGACGGGAGGGGGAAGGACTCCCTCCCCCGACACAGGCACTAGGATCACAGGAGGGGAGGAGGAGCCGCCTCTTGGGAGAGGTGCCCTGAGATGGAGGCTGTCATCCTAGGGACGGTGAGGTGCCTGAGGCTCTAGACGACATAACTTGCCTGGCCACACAGAGAAAGGGCTATGTGTTGTCAGAATTCGAACCCAGGTCTGCCTGCCTGAGCAGCACAGTGCTCACACCGCACCGCCTGCCCCCCAGGCTGGGGTGGGCGGCTGGGCTAGGAGGCTCCACCTCACTTGTCTGCTGGGACTCGGAGCAGCACCTCCCCGCAAACCCCGTCACCTACTAGCATGGCTGACAGGCAGCAGGTAGACCCCCAGAGGGTTAGCCAGAAGTCACTGTGCCCAATCCCGCCACATGTCCCCCTGCCATCACCCAGCTCCTCCTCAGGACCCTCTGGATCTCCCCAGTATTCACCAACTCAAAGGGCAGTGTTGGGCACTGGGGGCCCCAATTTCTGCTCCAGTGCTGTGATCAGTGTCCTTTCTCATTTTGGTTTGTTTGTTTTTTTCCCTTTTTAAAATGGTGGTACTGGGAATTGAACCAAGTACCTCATGCATGCTTAGCATGCGCTCTACCAACTGAGCTATACCCCCACGACCGACAGGCATCCTTTCTGAAGGCTGGTGCCCAGCTCCAGTGAGAGAGCGCCAGCTCTCTCAGACAGGATGGACCTGGTGGGCAGGCGGGCGGCTCAAATGGGATCGCAGATGCCACTGGGCCACTTCTCTCTCCTCTGTCTCTCTCTCTCCCCCTTTTCGCTCCTCTCTCTGCCCCTCCCCTGCCCCTCCCTCTTCCTGGGATGGCTCTGAGTAGCACAAACCCAGAAATCAATCATCTGACCGGGCCTCTTCCCTAAGGAAGCTTCTCCCTGCTGTTCACCCCAAGCCCAAACCCCTGAGAAGTTCTCCTGATGCCAAGTCATCCCTTTCTCTTGCATCTTCATTCATTTCATCCAAATGATGTCAACACAAGGCAGTGGCGCTGTGGCAGCGGTTGTGTGTGCATGGCGGGGTTCAGCCAGAGTGGCAGACACGTGGCTCGGCCCTCCAGGATGCAGTCAGCCCTCCTCCCTGCTCAAAGCTTCTTTCCCAGCTCCTCATCTTCCTGTCGCCTCCCAAGCTCCTCCCTCCCACATTCACTCATCATTCGTCTGACTACACACCAGGCTCTGTTTCCAGTACCTGGGATACAAACTTGACCCTGACTTAAACCCTACTTGCAGGAGCTCAGAGTCTCAGTGTCAGTTAGGATGTGGTCTTTGCTTCCTCTCCTGAAGTCTCGGTTATGTGGGGGAGGGCGGTTGTCCATTAGTCATTCTTTTCAAATTTGCCAAGGGTGTTTGTTTGCTTGTTTCAGACACAACAAAGATTTTTTATGCCATCCATGTTTTCCCTGGAGGAGGGGTCACCTGGGTCCCAGGTTCCTGGGGAGGAGACTTGCACATCCACAGCTCCAAAATACATGAATCTGGATCCAAATCCCAGCGCTGCTGTTTACAAGCTGTGTCACCTTGGGCATGTTACTAAACCTCTGTGTCTGTTTCCTTCTCTGTAAAACAGAGATGCTGACAGCACCTTTTCCACGGGGTTGTGAGGATTCATGGGAGAATCCCCATCCGCATGCTCCGTGAGCGGAAGTGTGACTGTCACTCTGCACAGGCCCAGCCCTTTCTCCACCAGCAGAAATTCCGGCTTGCTCCCTCCCCGAGGGATCCCAGTCCTGGCATTTAAATTGGATCATACTTTTCCTTTCTCACATTCTTCACCCTTGATAAGATCTCAGTTAGCAAGAGTGTATTAAGCACATTCTACCTGAACAAATTTGCAAGGCTTTAAAATTACCTCAGCCCAGAGTTTTGTCTCCACAGACCTTTAAATGGAGCTAGGGAAGTAAACACTGGAAAACTGTTTACGATAAAAAGCTTTGGGTCACGGGTATCACTCAGCAGATCAGCTGCCTTCTGGAGCAGTGAGCTCTCTGTCCCTAGAAGCATTCAAGCAGAGGCTGGGAGGCCACTTGCTGGGAATTCCAGGGGCAT